CCAAGAAGAAGCTTGCCGAGGTGAGGGCGGCCGGCCGGACGGAAGCGCGGCAGAGTTCTGCACCCTAGGTCGCCTCCCAGCAGAACCTGACTCGGGCTTCTGGACGCGGGCGCCGTGTCCCCAGCTCCCGGGGGCCGGAGCGGCAGAGCCCCAGACCCTCCACCCCGAACCTCTCTTCCCCAGACTTGACAGCAGACAAGTCGTCTCCCTCGGCCTGCCCTTCCTTACAGAGAAAGGAAAATTAAGCTCACTTCAGATGTGGCCGCAGGAGCGGGGCCCCGGCGCCCACCGCCTCTCACGCGAGTCTCTGTCCACAGGCCAAGTACAAGGAGCGGGGCACCGTCCTGGCCGAGGACCAGCTGAGCCAGGTGAGTGGTGGCGGGGAGGGAGACAGCGGACGTCGCGCGGCTTGAACTAAGAAGACGGGAGTCCGCAGATCCCGAATTCTGGCCGCTGCGGTCTTGGAGGTGACGACGCTGATGTTAGCGGGCGTCTTTGACTACTGGGCCGTCAGAAGGCCCTGGGCACTTGTCCATTTTTTTCCTCCGTCTTCCTCCTGGCTTTTGTTTTCTTCTGTCGCGCCAGGAATTGAATTCAGGACTCGAATTCAGGATTGATCCTTAACGCCCTTGTCCAATTTCTTCACATTGGCCGACTATTGATCCTGTGTCATCCTAAACTAGAGGCAGCCGGGTATGGTGACACACACCTGTAATCCCAGTACGGGGAGGCTGAGCAGGAGGATCACAAGTTTAGTATTTTTGTTTTTGTGTTTTGGTTTTGTTTTTTTGAGACAGGGTCTCACTATGTAGTTGAGACTGACCTGGGCCTCACTATGTAACCCAGGCTGCTCTCGAACTCACAGCGATCCTCCTGCCCCAGCCTCCCGAGTGCTGGGATTACAGGCGTGCGCCACCACGCCCGGCTAGGAGGGCTGTTTTGTTTTGGTACTAGGGATCGAACTCAGGTCCTTGTGCTAAGCAGGAGCTGCAACCACTGAACTAAATCCCTGGCTAGGGGAGGGCTGTTTGAGACAGGGCTTCACTATATATGTTCAGGCTGGCCTTGAACTCACTATTCAGCCCAGGCTGGCTTCAAACTTATAAATACCCTCCTGCCTCAGCCTCCTGAGTACTGGGGTTACAGGGGTGTGCCACAGTGCTCAGCAGGATCCCAGGTTTGAGTCCAGCCGGGGTAATTTAGCAAAACTCTGTCTCCAAACAGAGGCAGGGGGATCGAGGTGTTGCTCAGTTCAAAGGTCCTGAGTTTAATCCCTAGTATCACAATAAATAGATGCCTCAAAAAACACTACCACTGTTTTTTGGGACCAGGGAATCAAATTCAGGACCTTGTGCTTTCGAGGCAGATGGCAGAAACACTGAACTAAGTTCCTGGCCCAACACTAAACCACTTATTTGAGAATAGCATTGTATTGGGAAGACACATGCCACAGGACTGTGCAGCTCTTCAAAGGCATTGAGGCCAGAAAGGCTGCGCATGGGCCCAGGGTCGTGTGCGTGCCAGCCAAGTGTTCTGCCACTGAACTGCTTCCTGTACTTCTTAAGCGTCCCAGCCTCAGGAAGACTGGATTTATTTGGTGGTACTGGGGATTGAACCCAGGGCTTTGGCACTGATCTTTTTTATTTATTTTATTTTATTTTTGTTTTTTGCTTTTTTGGTTTTTTGAGACAGGGTCTCACTATGTAGTTGAGACTGACCTGGAACTCACTATGTAGCCCCGGCTGGTTTTGAACTTGCAATGATTCTCCTGCCTCAGCCTCCCGAGTGCTGGGATGACAGGAGTGCACCACCACGCCTTGGTGCCTAGTTCTTTTTGAGCCATGCATGGTGGCACAAACCTGTAATCTCAGGTATATTCTGAAACTTTGGGAAGCTGAGGAGGGAGGACTGCAAGTGTGATCCTGTCTGAGCAATTTAGTGCCCCCCCCTTTTTTTGGTACTGGGGATCGAACAGGCACCGGAACCACTGAGCTAAATCCCCAGCCCCCTGGGACCCATGTCTTAAACAGAACAAAATAAAAAAACAAATTTTTATGTAAGATTGCAGTCACATCCATGAAAGCTTATAGTTTTGTTTTTTGGTTTTTTTGGTTTTTTTTTTTTTGGTACTGGGAATTAAACTCAGGACCTTGTACTTCAGAGGCAGGCACAGTGTCACTGAGCTGAATCCCTGGCCCTAAGCTTGTAGTTCTTATCAGGCAGTCAGAGTCAGTCATGTTCAAAAACCCTCCCTTCATAAGCTCCCAGCTTTTTTTGGTAGGGTTGTTACAGTGAGTTCAATGGTGTGTGTGTGTGTGTGTGTGTGTGGTCGGTTGCTAGGCAGAGATCTTCCTGCCTCAGCCTCCCAAATGCAGGGATTATAGATCTCACCACCACACCCAGCTGTGACTGTTTTGATTTAGAGACCCTTCAGATTTATCTCTTGTTCCTAAGGAAGGAACTCCATGGTTACCAGTCGAGAATTGAAATCACTGAGGCACTAAGTGCTTACTTTGTATAGTAAGTGATAGAGCTATTTATTGACATATTTCTTTATTGACTTTTTTAGTTTTGCAGTACTAGAGATTGCCATATGCTTGCTAGGCAAGCACTCCACTGCATCCCCAACCTTTTGTAGGTGTTTAAAAATTTTGAGAGTTCCTTGAATTCAGTCCCCAGGATCTGAAACAGAGCACAACCCACTGGAATGTGTAGATGTCGGAGTTTTATGCAGCATATGAGGAGGAGATACTCAGACACTGCGAGTGGTGGCACCACTGGTAATCCTGGTGCTCTGGGAGGCTGGAGCAGGAAGATCAAAAGTTCAAGCCCAGCCTGGAAAATTTAGTGACCTAGAAGAATGTCTGAAAATTAAAAATAAAAAAGGGCCAAGGGAGTATAGCTCATTGTGAATGTCAGAGGCCCTGGATTGCATCCCCAGTACTGGAAAATGATGTTCAACCAGGAGAGGTTGACTCTTGGTGGAGTAGAAGATGGTCTTTGTTAATTAGGACAAGAGATTGAGTAATTCAGATAAAAAGTCAAAATCCCCAGACCTCCCCCGAAAGCTTGGTGTTTTGGATCCCCGCCTCCCCATGCTTTACTTGGAGTTGATCCCCAGTGAGATCTGGGGGTGAAGGGTAAATCACCAGTGCAAGACAGAGTGGAGTGGTAAGCGCACCTTCAGTGTATGACAGTCTTCACCCGGCCTGGCGCTGCATGCCTGTCATCCCAGCACGCCCGAGGCCGAGGCAGGACAATCACCTGGCAGTTCAGGGCCGTCCTGAGGTACACGGTGAAGACCCTGCTGGGGAGCGTTGTAAGCAAATGGAAGGGTGGGATTGTACCGTAGTGGAGGGACCTGCCGCACATACCAAGCTTTTATCTCCAGTTCTATTAAAAACATTTTTTTTCTGCAAAAAGAAAAGAAGCTCCATACTAAATGGTGTATAATTATTCGGATCATCTTAGAACAGGGATGCATGAAAAACTGCGTATTTTGGGGTGGAAGAGTCAGCTGTTATCCCAGTGCTCGGAGGCTGAGGCAGGAGGATTGCATGGGCTCCGTAGTGAGCCTGGGCTCCACAGTGAGAAAACAGAACAGAGCCTCCTTCCTGGTAAGCACAGCCCACTAGGGGCAGATGGGAGGGGACCGGAATCCGTGGAGTGGTCACCCAGGCAGTAGCCTCTCCCTGCTCCTGGCTGGGGATCTGCTTGGCATTTGTCACTCTGGCTGGCCCTGACCCCCTCGCCGTGTGTCCCCCAGATGTCGAAGCAGCTGGACATGTTCAAGACCAACCTGGAGGAGTTCGCCAGCAAGCACAAGCAGGAGATCCGGAAGAGCCCCGAGTTCCGCGTGCAGTTCCAGGACATGTGTGCGACCATCGGGGTGGACCCCCTGGCCTGTAAGGCATCTTCCGCGGGGCTTGTGTCCCCTCAGCTGTCACTGTCGTCAGGCTGTCGCTGGGCGGGCCTGTGGGTGTCCAAGGTTGCTGTCCCCTGGGATGGCCGGTGCCCGGCGGGGCGGGGCAGAGACAAGGCAGATGCCAGCCAGCCCTTAGCGCCGGGCTGTGCCCCAGCTTGTGTTAAGTTTTATTTTGAGACAGGACTGTCTGCCTGGGCTTCTCAGCGCCTGGATCACAGGTGTGCGCCCGGCCCGCCCTCCGCCTTCACAGCGCCTGGTCTTGCAGGCAGCTGGCCAAGCGCAGTGTGAGGAGGGCGCAGGTCTTGCCCTGGGCTCCAGCAGTGTCGACCTAGATGTTTCCGCTCTGCGGTGCCACAAAAGCAATGAGCAGGTGGTGCGGGCCACTAATTCCTCCTACTTGGGAGGCTGAAGCAGGAGGATGGTGAATTCAAGACCAGATCGGGCAACACGGCAAGAACCCACCTCAAAAACATGACAACAAACTGCAGATGGCATTCTCTGGAAACGTACTTGAACTTTTCCCTGGTGTGATTTTCTTTTATGATAGGGCAGTGGCACAGTCACAGCCTAATAGCCTGTTGTGCTAACCTGTGATGTTCTGTAGAACAAGTGTATAAATGCATTTTTATTTTTTGGGTTATTGACACAAGGTCTCGCTGGGTAACTCAGGCTTGCCTTGAACTTCTGACATCCTCCTGCCTCAGCCTTCCAAGTGCTGGGATTCTAGGCCTGCGCCACCATGCCCAGTAATGTCTGGCTCTTTGTTTACTTATTTTATTGATTTTTCTTAGAACCAGGGATCAAATTTGGGACCTTGTGCTTGCAAGGTGGGCGTCAGCACCGCTGAGCTAAATCTTGGCTCTTTAATGCTTTTTTCTGGTCTTTTTTTCCCCCCCTTTGTTTATTGGTCCATGTTAGGTCTTTAAAGGCATTTCGAGGTAATGTTTCCAGTTTCCGATGGCTTTATTGTGACATAATCTCACTGAAATTTGTGGAGCATTAGCGTATCTCTCCAGACACTTGCCTCGTACTTCCGGACCCTTCACATTGTGGGTCATGCCGCAGTCGCTGCTCTGTAACCTGTGCTTTCCACCCAGCAGAATGTTGTCTTCACTGGGCGTGGTCTGCACAGCCACAGACCCCACCGCTCAGCAGGCCGAGGGATCGAGGCCCCATTTCAGAGGACAGCTGCATGTGGCGGTGAACCCCTGTGGTGCCCGCACTGGGAGGCTGAGGCAGGAGGTCCACACCCTGCCTGGGCAACCTAGGCCCATCTCAGCATAAAACGGGAGATGTTGCTCAGTGCAGAGGCCCTGGGTTCAAGTCCCACAGTCACAGTAAATGAGTGGTTGGATGGAAAGAGCTCTGCTCAGTGGCAGAGCACTTGCCCAGCGTGTGTGAGGCCCTGAGTTCAATTCCCAGCACCTCATGAAGGAAAAAGAAACGACTGACTGTCGTCCCCTTAGCTGTGAGATTGCTAAGCCTGCTTATTTTTGTCTCAGCCTTGAGTAGACTTCCTCTCCCACACCATTTCACTGTCCCTCTGGGAGAGGAAACTCCGTGCTTTCAGTGCTGAGCCTTTTCTCTTTTTTTCTTCCTTCCTTTTCTTTTTCTTCGTTTTTGTACCAGGGATCGAATTCAGGACCTTGTGCTTTGCAGGATAGGCAATGGCACCACTGAGCTAAATCCCCAGTCCTCTTTTCTTTTGAGACAAGGTCTCACCGTGCAGTTCAGACTGGCCTCAAACTCATGGTGATCCTCCTGCCTCAGCCTCCCAAGTGCTGGAATGAGAGATGTGCGCCACCATACCTGGCTTTTTTCCTTCCTGCTCTGTCCTCCTTTCCTGTTAGGCACGGAACCAAAGGCCTCATGTAAGGTGGCCAGTTCCTCCCACCTGGGCTGTCACCCCCAGCTCCCGAAAGGTCTTGCACAGTGCCCATCCTGTGCAACCGTCTGAGCCTGTTTTTCAGCACAGGCTCCTGAGAGTCAGATTCAAGGGGACCGTAAGGTACAAGTGGAGCCAGACTTGCGGCTGGGCAAAAAGACCTCCCTATGGAGAGATCTTTTATACAAGGGACGAAAATGGAGTCATGGCCTGCCTCCTGGGTTTCTGTTTTACAGCTGGAAAAGGCTTTTGGTCAGAGATGCTGGGCGTGGGCGACTTCTACTACGAGCTGGGCGTGCAGGTGATCGAGGTGTGCCTGGCGCTGAAGCATCGCAATGGAGGTGAGCGCCGGCCACAGAGGTGGCCTCCCCACCTGCGCTGCGTGCCGCGGATGCTGGGCTTTTGCTCTCATTTCCTTAGTGCCCCACTGCAGCCCAGGTCTGACTGCGGTGCTGCTGCTGCTTCCGCCGTCCGCGGTCTCAGCCCAGGGAGACCTGCAGCTGCTG